TCTGATGCTAAAAAATCACTAAAATTATCTGTGTTTGCGTAACGGTGTAACTTTTCTTCGTACTCCGCCCATTTAATTTGTTCTTCTACAGGAATTTTAGACACCAGTTCACTTAGCAGCGTAACGTCACAAAGCCGCTGCTCTGCCTTTGCATAGCGTACAAAGGCTGTTATATTTTTTACTTTCTTAGCAAATGGTATAATTAAGCTTATACTACCTGTTGGTATTGGAGCGATTTTTCTTATTTGCATAACCTGGCTGTTTATTATTTGATCCGGTCTTCCGAAATTCCCCTAAAAGTGCTCATAATTTCTGATACACTATCTGGATAGGGCAACAAGGTGTTAACAGCGACTTTAGCATCGCCCGAAATCGAAAAATATTTCGCGTATGACCATAATTAAACTCTTGCGTAGTGTCTCAAAATGACCTTTCAAACATAGGCCAATCTAACGGATCGCCTCTGAACGCCGCAAATCCACTGATTTTGCGTACATTATTTGCTGACTATTAACATTAAAATTGCTTTCAATTGGCTGCGACGCATTGGGCAAGTGCAAAGATTCTGGCATAGCAGGTGCATTTTGTGTGCTCATTGTATGCGGCTCTGTATAATCGCTAGGCGCTCTCCTCACCATTTCCTGTTGTAAAGCCTGTACTGACGTCTTATCAATTTCCACCAAATTTACTCTAATTATTTCAATATCTCATAGCATATCGAAACTGTTTGACATCGGCAAAAATACTCTTGCTTATCATGCAGTTTACTGAAAGGTGAAAAAAACGATATTTAATACGTGCGCCGGGTATATAAAGTTCGGTTTCGCCCGAACTTATACTTCTTTACTTGTTTTCATTTGCAATGCAAACTTAAAACGAAAATAACGACTAAATGACTTTATCTAGAAAAACGGCATACAGATCCGTAACCTACTACCCAAACTTAATTTTACATGTATCGGCGTTTTTGTGTAATTTTAGCGACCTTACAGTGTTATCATCAAAATTTAGCCATAGCAATGCAATTTGTTTATAAAACTCTTAGGAGGTAGGATCTCCGGTCCGACAGGGCTCGTAATTAAAGCGGACTCTATCCTCATTTGTAACGCAGGATACCAGTAGGAGTACTTCAAATTAGAGTCCGACCGATTCCAATTTTTTTTCAGGTACCGATGCCGATGCCGATTAATCGGCTTATGGGGAAAGAATCGGCCGATGCCGATGCCGATGGCGATTCCATAAAAAATTACAAATAAATGTATTAATTCATAAAATCAGTTCATTTCACGGAGTTAAAAAAAAACAAAAGAAGAGAAATAATTGAATTAATTAAAATAAAAGAATTGCGATATTTTGACCGATTTTGTCTTTTTTATTTAATGTTTATTATTTCTTTTTATAAAAGTCTAGTTGGTATACAACAAACACCAAGTACCAATTTTGAATTTATACTTGGTACAAAAATTATAAAAATTCTGTTTATTTTCACCAAAATTTCAAACTTTTTAATCAGAATTTTGGTATGCAGTTTTGTAGACCATTTCATTCTAGTATAGCTTCAAGCTGCTATAAAATCCCGTTAAGTTTTGGCAATTTTTTTTT